AAAGTGTCGTCGCGTTCGCCCCGAAAGAGATGACGCTGGAAACTGCGAACCGGAGGTGGTTTTACCAGTAAATTATTCGACTCTGCTATCGTCGCTGTAAAATATGTTTCACAAAGAGAGACGAACAATGCTAATGTAAAACTGATTGAAACGGCGCGAAGATACGCGATAGCTGCGATAGCAGATCCTGAATCGGGCAGCGTACGACCGTGCAAAACATTTTCACAACCGCTTTTCTCCGGCAGGACTGGTTGCGCGAATCGGGGAAGCAGAACCCGGTTCGAAGCGATGCAATGATCGTAGAAATCCAGCTTGAAAGCGATTTCGCTGTAACGTCTGAGGCCGAGGACGACGCAGAAGGAGATTTGCAACAGAATCATCGATGATTCATTTGAAGCGGCGATATCAATCGACTGATAATGGTCACAAATGACCTGCGTTGTTATCTCGAGGATTAAACGAAGACGTCAAAGTGATGCGCAAAAAATATTGTTTGACTTTTTAAAGAAGCGTACAACCGTCATTTATATATAAAGTACGACTGTCGCGAATAGCGCTCGACAATCGGAACTCCGCAACGAACGTCGTGCAAGTCCGGATGTGTTATCGCCCGCAGGCGATGATAAGGAGCGAGGCGGTGCAACAAGATACCGGGGCGCGCACACGCATCGCTCGAACGCGCAGAAATGTCGACGGAGCCGATACGCGGTGATCTTGAAGAGTCGGTATCACTCTGGAGAGAAAATAACGTCGTTCGACAAGCGAACTTGATTTTTCGCGTAGGATCGCGACGGCGATTTATAGCCGCGGCACGTAAATGGCACGAGGCAGTTACCGCGGATGCCGAATGCACACGTACAAGACGAAGAGCGAAACATTTAGTGAAAGGCAACGCGCGTCTTCCGTGGCCGAGATTTGAGCCTCGATCGACGATCGAGCCTAAGCCAAGTCACGAGCCCCCCGGGTGTCGCGTCGCCTCGCTCGAGCCGCTCGAGCGGAACACCCGGTATACGCGCGCGATTATTCGCGATTTATTATTCGCGCTCGTGCGAGGAGCGGTCGGCTGTCGTTGTAATTTGTTTAGACTCGTGACGCAGGCTCTCTCTCTCTTTCTTTTTCTTCCGATCTGTCGGGCACGTCGACAGAAATGATCCTCTTTCGTCTCCCTTAGCTCAATTGAGCCTTTTTAACCGCAAGGACCGCGTCTTTGCATCATGACGCGCAAGCTCAATTTCGTCCTCTGAATAGCGATACTTAGGGGATTACTTCATGAAACGTGTAATGCCAGCCAGGGATTTCTCAGGAGGATTCTCAAGTATCAAAAGGATTCCTAGAGAATCGCAGAAACTCGAATACGGATGGGGTACGACTTTATCTACATGTGTATATCTTAATCCCCGGTCGCGGCGAGTTCCTCGTGAATGGCACTTGTGGACCGTGCTTAATTCGGCACTGTGACCCTAATTTAAGTCGTCCGGACTTGGAAGAAAGAAAAAGAGAAAGAGAGATAGAGAGAGAGAGAGAAGGAAAGAAAGACGCAAAAACGAGCGGAGCGCGAATCAAACGTTATATACGGATTCGTTTCTCTGGCGAATATCTTCGAAACCGCCGAATCAAAAAGGACGAATCGTCGACCAACGGTGAAGAGAGGCCAGCATGTAACACCTTGAAATCCAGTTTCCTGCTGCTGCACACGCTGAAGAACGAGAAATGTGAAACTCTCGCGTCACCGTTGAGGTCGACGGCAATGCGAGCGTCTTGTGGATTTTTTCAAGGATCCCATTGGCTATTTACATGGCCACAGTGCCCCTTCGTGTTACAAAGAGCTCCTTTATGTCTCCGGGGCCTCGACTCTTATTTCGTGAAAATTGCGAACCGAGTTGGGGACGAGAAAGAGAAGGGACGGCGCGGGGATGGCGCGAAGGAATTTTCATCGACTCGGCTCGATTCCCGAGAGATATTTTCTAGCCGCGGGAATTATCGAAATGATTTCAACTAAGGCTAAATTAAGGCTTACATAACGTTCCGTTCTGCAAACGCACAAGTACGATATTTCTCGTGCCACTTGGTGCCGGGAGATAATTAACGAGCGAGCGTGTTGCAGTCGAAATTATAATATAAAGCCGCTATCGAGCAGGTATGCCTCGTTATACGGGGCGGTTTCGCAATCGCGGGATTGGCGTGCGCCGGTGTCGTAACCGTTTGTCGAATGTGCAATGAAACGGAAAATCCGGTAAGTTTAATAAGGTTCCCGTTACAAGAGAAAGGGTTGTGCTCCTGCCGGATGCGATAACCGAGCTCGCGGGGAGGAAAGTCGAAGGTAGGTAAGGAGATTCGATACGGCCGTGAAAACCGGCACGAGAGCGATAGAGAGGTCCGCCCGCTTTCTTTTTACTGTTTCTTGACCTGCCATAAACCGCCAGGAATTTAGCTATCTCGTTTCGTACTAAACCAAAGCTGACCCGCCGCGTATATTCCGTTCGCCATAAACACGACAGCGAGAGACCAGCACACGCCGTTTACTTTTTATTAAACGCTTGTCAGTTGATTGAAATGCGACGTTTACTTTAGGTGATATAGCACGGTTGGATAATCTTATCGAAATCTAGAGCGCCTCGTTAATCCAAGTGTGCTTCGATAAACATTCGACTCTGGCGTTGAGGCGTGTTCAACAATCGTCTATTTTCGCGCGGAAGTGCCGCGCGAAACGTCATCGTCATTTTCGGCGCTGCGTAACGTGGGGTTCGAGTTTAACGCCAGTCTAAAATACCATCGTCGTCCCAAGTGTATCGCGTTGCTGCCACCAGGATTCGACGACCAATCATTTCCCCAACATTTATTTGTTAAGTATCACACGTAGCCCCGGTATCCAAAAATACGGTTTCCGCTGCCTGCTAGAGAGTCCGCTTCCATGTTCCCCGCGGAGCGGATGGATGGCCACGTAGAGGTATCCCGTTACCACGGTAGCCCAGATACCGGATTACGGAGCACGAATTGTCAATCGCGTGCGAGCGAGAAGGCCTTTCAAATGTTGTGGCAAGGCGTCCAAACGATCGAAACGCCACGAACTCACGAATCGGGCTTCCCTGGAAATTCCGATGCGTCGCTCGTCTTCAGAATTCTAAGGGAAAGGGACGAAAACAAGCTATTCCAGAAATTCCGTTCCCCCGGGGTCAGGAGAAAAATTGACAAAATCTCAGACGAACGATTGACCACTGACTGAAACGTCACGACGCCTTTAACAAAGAGAAAAGTGTCGAGATATTGCAACATTTATTTGGTTTTCATGAAATTGCTCAGCTATTCGTATACGAAATCAACACAGATCCCGATACACATCGCTCGTTGTGTAATTTCAGAATTCTAAAGGAAAAGGACGGAAACAAGCTATTCCAAAAATTCCGTTTTCCCGGAGTCAGAAGAAAAACTGAGAAAATGTCAAACGGACGATGGGCCACTGACCGAAACGTGACGACGCATTTAACCGAAAGAAAAGTGTCGAGATATTGCAACACTTATACTTGGTTTTCATGAAATTGCCCAGCTATTCGTATACGAAATCGGCACAAAATACACATCGCTCGTTGTGTAATTTCAGAATTCTAAGGAAAAGGGACGGAAACAAGCTATTCCAAAAATTCCGTTTTCCCGGAGTCAGAAGAAAAACTGAGAAAATGTCAAACGGACGATGGGCCACTGACCGAAACGTGACGACGCATTTAACCGAAAGAAAAGTGTCGAGATATTACAACACGTACATGTATTTGGTTTTCATGAAATTGTTGAGCTATCCGTATACGAAATCAACACACCCTGTTATCGTGACACGTCGCTGTCCTATTAACATAAATGTTAACGGAGCCACAAGGCGTCGGCTCGCCTGATCGGCATAATAGAGTAAACAAGCTGGCGCTACCGAGCCACTTAATCTTCAATTGCCGCGTTTGTGGGTTACATTACGTTACATTACGAGGATTCTCACGTGACGTCGGTTCTTACTCAACGGGCGTGAATCAATTTCGCGTTAACGTCGAGCCCCGATAAGCGAGCGCCGATAGAAGATTATTTAACGAAAGCGCATTCCTGCGTCGCAGCGAGGAAGGAGATATCGACGAGATATCGATAGCGGAGTCTCGGGCTAGAGAGCGAGAGCACTCCACCACAGGCCGGGTCTCAGGGAACGCTCGTTACAGTTGCTCGATAAGGTTCGCCCGTTTGTTGCAACAACACGCTCCAATGAATCACAATATCGATAATAGTCGGCGTGCCGGGCGGAGTGCCGCGAGATGAATGGCGCGAGTTTACGTTCTCCCGACCGCCTGTTTACAGAATGTAAACCCGCGAGTCCGCCACAATGAGAATGACTTCTTCCTTCTCGGTCCGGTATCTTCCTGCCGAGCGGAGACTCGAGAGAGCCGAGGGGAGTCCCTCGAGCGAAACGAGCAGACTGCGTTGCTCCATTTTGCCGGAGACAGATGCCTCGGCGCGCGCGCGCGCGCTTTACAGATTACATTTGTTTGTTTATCCAATTGGAAGAACGGAGGAAAGTTTGACGGTGCGTCGATCGTGACGGGCGGAGACGGTTTCGCCAAGTGGACATGCGTGCCAGCTTATCGCGGCGGTATCGCTAAATGAAACGTCCCAAATTAATGAGAAATGCGTGATTACCGGATGCCCGTGGAAAGCTCCATTTTTTCGCTCAATTACTACGGTAATTAACCTATTTGATACGCTATCGGCGCCGTATAATCTCGCGGGTGATGATAATTTTTTTAATTTAACGCTCAATATGTGTCCGGAGCTTTCTTTTCTTTAATGCACATATTATTGGGATACGTTACCCGAAGGCGTCTGCGTGTTCGTTATCGGAGCCTTCAGTCTTAAATTGCATTCATAATTATTGCCCTGCCTCCGTACCTTTTCAGATCCTTACGCTCACTCGGCGGTGAGATACGTGTCGTGCGCTCGCCAAACGCGATTCCCGGAATAACTCAACTCACCTTTAATTTTGGTCTCCTGCGGATCCAGGGGGGGTAACCGTGGGTGAGTCTGCTGTCCCGGTTTCTTGAGCAGGACACCCACGACCTGCGGCGGCGGCATCATCGTTCTCGCTCTCTTCCTCTCACTTTCGGAGCGTCAATTGGCGTCGCTGGTCATACCGACGTCGCACTCACGACCGACGGAAAAGCTCTTATCCACGATCTCCTCCACGCGACCTGGTCAACGTGACACGAGGGTCGCACCGGGCACCAAAACTGACGCACGCTAATCACCTCCGCAACGAGAGAGGCGAGGACCTCCTTTTTCCAGTGGCGCGATGCTCCTTCTACGCGCCGCCTCGTTATCGTCCGCTCGCCACAGACGCGCTCTCGCCAGTCGGCCGTCCTCCTTGTTGATCGCGTCGCCTCGTACTTATTCTTTTTAATTCGATCGGCGCGCCAACAAGGACGCGAGCTCCGATTCGCGAGCGATTATCGTCGGGAGCGAGACTCGTGGCGCGACGTTCGCGAGCCATTCGTCGTGCGTGCCAATCGAGTCCTCGTTCGACGGCTCAGCTGCGTCGACGCTCCGAGAGTATCGACGAGCGCCCGGCGGGATCGACGACTGCCCGGCCGCTCCGATCTGCCATCGTGTTCCGCGCGCAATCGGGACGAAGGAAAGGGAATACGTGTCACCTGTTTGCAACCCTCGAGGACGCGCCGCCACGTCGAATCGTCATCAAACGAGTTTATCGCGACAAGTCGATAAATCGTATCGGCGGCGGGCGCGAGAGTTTCTCGAATCGCGACTTTCGAGTCGAAAGCGCGACCGACGGCCGGTCGTTTCCGCGCGCGCGACGGAAAACCCTCGGGGCCGTGGACGCGGCCGCGGTCGCTAATTAATATATAATACACGATGCACTACCGCGGTATCACTACCCCAGTTTCCGGCACGTAACAACTCAACTGCACCGAAATCAACGGCGGGAGGATCGAGGTCGACGATCCCCCACTCGCTATTTAAATGTCACTTCCATCCCGTCGGCGAATCGTCACTTCTCTCTCGCGATTATCACGGCGGCGGATCAACTTTTACGGGGGGCTCGGCACACTTCTGCTCGCACCACACGTCCACGCTCCAACTTGTTGTCGGCGTAAATGACCGACGCCGCCGCCGCCCACCCCCCTCCCCTGAGGCGCGTTATCACGGTGCCTCGTGCTCCCAAGGGGTGCGATCGATCCCTCGCCGACACCCGGCGCGACAGGACCTTGCCACGCGCGTCAAACACGAAGCGGAGAACGGGCGACGAAACGCCAGGCGGTGCGGCAACCTGGTGCGCGCGCGGCGAACAACTGATCGTCGAGCGAACACGGCCAACGCGAGAGAACCTATCGCGTACCCTACTCGCTCGCCCGGCCCCCCCACTATCCACCAGCTGCGTCGGTTGTCTCGCTCTCTCGCTGCGCCCGAGAAAGGGAGCGAGCGAGAGAGAAGGAGAGACACGCACCAACCCTCGTAGACCTTTAATCGTGTTTACGCGTCCAACCTTCGGGTCGACGTTAATATAATATTTGTGTATTCGCTTCCGTCGCGCGTCGCAATGATAAACATCTCGTCTCTTGGATATTGATCTCATCGACTTCCTCGATTGAAACCGTATAAAGCTCTAAAAGGGTTCAGAAACGGATTTTATCGACCACCTGAGTAGAGTATTTGGTCCCGGAATGGGCCTTCATTATTCTAATGTAGAAAATTCCATCACGACGCATGGCTGGCAAATTCTAATCGAAAGAAATATGCCTCGGTGGTCCAATTGGTTGACACGCCCACCTAGAGTGTTCAAACCCTGGCTGTGCTAATATTTTTTGCAATCAATTTCTTTAATTACAATTTGCCAGCCACGGGTCGTCATGCAATTTTCTACATTGTTTAATCAGTCACATTAAGTAATTCTTTACTCAATTATTCTATTCTGTCTTCATTTGCACCTCGGAGTCGGTTTGAAACGCCAATTAGAGGCCCAGGCGAGTAAAAAAAATTGTTCAACCTCGTTCTAACTCTTAAAAAGAGTGAAATAAAATATTTCACCCTCTTTGAAACCTCTGCGGCCGAAGAGGATCTGCTGCTTCCGTTTATTACACTCGCACTGGCTTCTTTACTGCTAAAGGGGAAACAGCGAGTCTTTTCAGGCCTATCTGAGGCCAAGAATTCAGTATATTTTCTTCGATACAAAGACCTTAGTTCGACCTCGTTGCTCCCAATTAAAAAATGATACGAGGCTAAACTGAGGCCAAAATATTCGATTCGGGAAGTACCAAGTTTTTAGCTGTGTACAATTTTAAAGCGTTACTTTGGAACACGACGATAGATGTGGAGGAAAGTCCTCTATTATGAGACAGCAGGTTTTCAATAGCCAAATTCAATGTAATGAATCCACCACTAAACAGACCTCGCTCCGAGGATAATAAATACGTGACTACGAAAGCCAACGACACGCGATACTATTTTTCCTACTGGATTGCTCACGAGAGCCAATCAGGATGCAGAGTTGCCAGGAAGACCACTGCGATTTTCAATGGTTTTGCTGGTTTGCATGCAAACCAGCGACTATTCACCGTTTTCAGTGACAATCCACTGTTTTGACTTTTAGAGAGTATCTAAATTTCTCTGACGCTGTTATTGGCAACTCGTTTCGATTATCGTCGCGGTACCTGTCGCGGGTTTGCCTTTCCGCCGGCGGAAAGGATACGGAAACGGATTTTTTCAATCGCCTTCGCCGCCGGGACGCAGGATGCGGGAACTCGATCTCGGTCTATGACGCGCGAAGGTTTCAAGACCGCCGATCTATGACGATAAAGTGCAAATTAAAAATGCAGTGACACACTTTCACCGCCAAGTGCCGCTACTACCCGCAACGTATAATGGCCACCATTCAGCTTCTGTCGGGGGCAGCGGAGTACACCGCGTGTAAAAATTTCGCGTAATTGTCACGATCGCGAGCGAAATAGCTCGCGGAGAAAATCTCCCACGAGACGTGGCCTCTGCTCCAGGCCTCCAGGCCTCCGGGACGAGGATCTCCGTCACTTAGCACGGGCGGAAGGCAGTGACTCAGTTCGCTCTCCCACCCGGTTGAGCGGCGATCCCATTCGCTTTCCTCGAAAATCTATTTGGGAGTGCAACGGAACTGCGAGAGCGGACAAAAGCGCCCCGCTGTAAAAAAAGTAACCGTACACCACCGTATCGACCGCGTTATGCTGGAAATATCGCCCCTTGCGATGCCCCGTCGGGTCTCGAACACCATAAAACTTCGGGAAGCGTCACGCGATTCGCGCGCATACAATAACGACGACGACGTATTAGTGAAGCTTGGTGTGTATTATAATGCTCGGGCACGGAGATCGGAATCCGGGATTCTCTCCGAGGACGAGAGGGCTATTTCACAACAGAGACGCCATAGGGATGCGAATAAAGAAGCAAGACGGAACACAATGCGGACTCGTGGGACCGTTTCACAAACCGTGGAAAATGCGATCGAAGATACAAGTAACGAAATTGATTACATAAAGACTTATATAACAAACTTGTTCTCCAATTTCGACCATTATTTTCCGTTTAACCGCGATCAAGATCTCGTGCATTCGCGTTGCTTCCTTGATTGTTGAGTTTCGTTCGGAAACCAGGTCGTTAGCGAGACAAATCGGTATGGCCGATCGCGTCGGAATAAGGTACAATTGAACGACGCGTCGATCCATATCGGGGCGGAGTATATCAACAATCGTTAGATATTCCACCACTCGTGGCTGTCGTAGTAAGATTCCAAGCGTGTTCTGAATAAAAGACGTACCCGTCGCTCTTTTGCCAGCAGTTGGCGCAAAGAAGATTGTTAGAAATTTTAAATAACATAAAAATTATAAAATGACATAAAATTTAGAATATGAAATATTTAGACACCAACACCCTGTCACCGCTCTTAGTCCTTTGTTCCTTCAAATTTGTGTTCATCACATTTGGGCCACACGAATTTTATTAATTTGATAAAAATAAAAATTGTCCACTAGACAAATTTCACTCCAAGGGCAGTAAATTCATGGTGGGACCAGCAGACGACGCCTATTAATTTGGTAGAAACTCCGCTGTCTCGTATTAGGAGCCGGTTTCATAATAGGGGACTTTCCTCTGTGTGTATCTTCAGGGAAGTTGACACTAAAGCCAACGTGTTGAGATTTATTTTATCTTGTATTTAGATTTACAGTTGTATTTGAGTATTGTTAAATTGAAATGCGCGGACTAGGTTAAGCTAAACCTGAGTCCACAAGACAAGAGTTTTGAGTTGCGAGTCTAGTCTGCGTATCGAGTTGAGTTTTTATGTTCATGCTTGTGAAACAAGAAACAAGTCTTTTCGCCCGTGTGTCGGACTGTTGCACGAGCAAACTGAAATTATTAATTGTCAGATATAAGAAAAATATCGAGAAGGAGCAATACTAGCTCTGTGATTGAAAGACGCCTTTCGGAATATCTGCGGATACTTTCCGAATACAGTCAAAGTATACAGTCAAATATATACTGTTGTACTACCAAGAGCGAAAGGAAGTCATTGATAAAAATCTACGAATTCATACATATAATACTAAAAGAATCTCAACACAACGGCACACGATACTATTTTTCTTACCGGATTGCTTACGAGAACCAATAAGGATTCCGAGTTTTAGGTGACTTAAAGCTAAATCCTGGTTGGCTCTCGTAAGCAATCCAGTAGGAAAAATAGTACAGTGCGCCGTCGGTTTAACAATAGGACGCGCCGGGTAAGGACTTTTTGGACGAGAAACAGGAACTTTGGACCTCCCGCTTGCTCTTCCTACTTGCTCGATACCCTTCACGGAAAAAACAATGTAGCTGCTGTAGCTAAAACTTAGCAAAATAGGGACAGCTAATATTTTAGTTGTGATAGCTCAATATTTTGCTACTGTGCCTATTGTATTAGGTGCGACAGCAAACGGTTTGCTGTCGTAGCAAAATATTGAGCTATCACAACTAAAAATATTAGCTGTCCCTATTTTGCTAAGTTTTAGCTACAGCAGCTACATTGTTCTTTCCGTGTTCTCATTTTGCCCATTCACCGAACAGAGTAGGGAATAATATAGTGTACTTTTAGCAGCGCAACTCCGGAGCGACGTTTGGTATTTCACTCGAGCGTTAATCTTTGCGCCAGACGACAGCGGATAAGCACTCGGAAAATATTTTTATCTTCCTCGCGGCACGTTGCGACCGAAAAATGCGATCGTCTCGTGCGTGGCCCGGCATATGAACGCCAAAGAGACGACAAAGCGAAACGAGAAGCTCCAGAAATATCTTATTCTCGGTTACCGTCGGACGTGCGGGCCCGCGCTGCTCCGATTCTACGGAGGCAGAGAAACGACGTTTTTTTCGTTCTGAAATAAAATTCGCTCGCGGCCGCGCGTGCGAATGTCTCCGCCACGAAATATCGTCGGTATCGTAAAGCCGAGGAGCAACCGTTAACGTTCTCGACCTTTCTCTTAAAACGCCGGATTTAAAATCCCGCAGGGTTGAAAAACTTACGAGCTGCGTCGAATCGGCCACGTCGTCTATAAAATCGCGGCGTGATTAAGCAAGGATGACTTTAAGTAAATTGCCGGTTATTTCGGTACTCGCCGACGGTGAGAGAAAGAGAACGCGAGATAAACAGACAGAGAGAGGTTGTTTTTTGACGGGTATAAGAGAGGTAATTAATTTCCCCCGCCGTGCTATTTTGCAATTCCCCGATGCCAGTCTTGAAAACTCACGGGAACGAGTCCTGAGTCACGGGCGCGTTTAACGTGCGCAGCTTTAGTCACGGTGTCATTTAATTAAAATTGCTCGTTGAGCGTCAGCCGTTGCGAATCAAAAAGTTGTGCTTCGTATGAGACGTAAAGAAATGAATTAAATCTCGCTCGCGTTCGACGTTGCCTTTTAGGGAGCCGCACGCGCGCTCTGCCGTATTAAATTCTGCAACGCGCAAAATTAGTAGTTTCCATAAATACGGAATACGTGCAATTGCCTCTTATTGTTGGTTACCGTAACTTGTTCTCGTTTCCAAACTTTCGTTATGACAGTCGGTCCTAGCCGTTAAGAATATCCCGAACGCATTCGCGATGCCCGATAACGATA